AATATTTCCTTGTGGTTTCTATCAAAACATTTAAGGTTTCTATGCCTTCTTCATGAACGATCAAGAGAAAAGAGAATCAGGGACATTTCTGAATATTGTTGCTGTAGTTGTTGTAGTAGTACAGTAGTAGTAGTAGTAATGTAAAACACTGGGACAGGAGCACGTCTGTCTGCAGGCCTATCAGGACATAATGAGTTTTTCTCGCCCAGATACTTGAGAAGGAAAAAGCGGAGTGGAGCGCATTGTGAGGACCATGACACTGAGAGAAAAGGAAAAGCAGGGCAGAAAAGGCATTCAATGATAATATATGAGCTGTCTGCTGTGCTTTACCGCAGAGCAAAAGAGTTCAGTGGTGCATTTAAAAAGGAGATTATCATGTCAAGATACAATCCTACCTCAGTGAACACAGTCTGTGATTGGACTGCAGGACAAGGCTTTCCTCCTCCTGCCTGCGGAGGAAAGACGCTAATCAGGAACTTAATAAGAAAACCGCAAAAATCTATAAATAATCAAGTGTTTCCGGTTTACTTTGATCCAATATTGGTCGGCTACAAGGTTTGTCTTGATCTCAAACTTCAAGGTTAAGGTACACTTAATTGTTCTGCTGGATATTGTGTCAATCCTTCCAATGCCACTAGGGTAGCTTGTGGGGAGCCCCAGTGCAGCACCCGGGTCCCCATCTCCACGCTATGCCACCCAATATACACAAATACTAAATACATAAATCTTAGTTTTAATAGCAGCAACAAAGAAAATTACCCCATAAAAGTATAGTTTGATTTTGCATTGAAATATATGTGATTGAACATTGAGTAAGTAAAGTCTACTGTTATGTATATTTATAACACATTTACATTCACATTCACATTTACACAAGGAGTGAACTAATCGAGTGCAGATGTAAAGTCTTTTTGCAAAAAAAAGCCATTGAGAGCAAATTTAAACAGGCTTCATGGCTAGAATCTGAGGGCAAGATTGTTAGTTGGCTTGATCTAGCAAAGGCACTAATCTAAAGCCAAAATTCAGGAACCAAAACGTACCTTATTTGTCAGTTATTAGGAGCCATATCTGGATTAACAAAAACAATATCAAACTATAAACTAAAAAACAAACTATAAACTAGAATCCAAGCCAAAATGGTGAGTATGACACAAACGGTTACAGAGAGAACTTTTCAATAAAACTGGAGCAAAACCTTATCCATGAGCACTTTGTTATTAGGCTTTATAGAGCTAACGGATCAGCCTTGTCCATATATGATACCACAAAAACAAACATGGTCACATTGCAGTGAGACAAAGGCTGAAAAGAAATGTCCCAGTTTTAACGAAGGTGTAATGGCTCTGTCGAAGCTGCGGCTACCTGAATGATGCATTATGTTCACCATTATTAGTCCCTGCCTTTTGAATGTGTTGCTCAAGATACAGCCCTGAAAAAACATTGTACCTCATTGTTTTGTTTGGGGATTAGGAATAAGAATTAGATCCTGCAAGATCGTATTACTCTGACAACAGAACGGCATGATTTTTTGACTTGTTTTTGATCCGGCATTATTTAAAGTCTTTATATGTCTCTATGACCGTGTTGAAATACTGTATACCCCGAGCATGGACTGCATAACACTCATTCATTGGAGGTAGACTTTCAAAGATGTTGCATTTAGAATATTCTTGTGCTATAATTTGAAAGTGTCAGCAGCAGCTCATGGTTGGTATCTCATTTTCTGCATTTCTCCTCAGTGGATTTACATTTCAATCTTTAGGGCAACTCAACTGTAACTTGGGTTTAAATTACTCTTTCTAAAAATGCATGGTAGAGCTGACTTCAGAGCGTTGTGCCAAAAAAAGACATGGGATCTTATACGGCAAACGGCTTCATCTTTTCAAAACGTAGTAAACTTCTGACGTTCCCATTTATACTTGTTCCAAGAAAATAGTGTTGTCTATATTTTTACTGTGGTCTTCTTGGCGCTTGGTTGAGCTTGGACATGTCTCCTGCAATATTGAGTGATGACCTCATTGTAGGATGATACTATATTGTACTATACTATAATCAGGATGATAGTGAAAATATGACAGTTACAGTTGGTTAAAGGGGACATATCATGAAAAATCCACTTTTTATGCCTTAAATGCCTTATGTTGTGTAGTTGGAGCCTCTAGAAGTGCAAAAAAGTTGAAATCAGTCTCTTCATGGGTTGCAGAGAACACTTCATATTCTGTTTGGGTAAGATTTTTCAACCCGTTCAGATTTTGCCGTTCTCTATTACGTGTTTAGAATTATTACGTCACAGTATTTGCAGCGAGACTGCCATATAAGGGCATGGGCGTCTAACAAAACACTTCGGCCCAGCCCTCCTCTACTGTGCATCACTTCGAATTTGTAGTCCAAGCTCAAGGATGCCAGCGCACAGGGCTGGACTGGCCATCGGGCGTACCGGGCAATGCCCAAAGGGCCAATGCCCATATTTGGGCCGGTCTGTCTGCCTCATACAAAACACATGTTTATGAGAAGTGTAAATCCGTTGAGAATTGTTCGAGCGGGGCGCGCGTATCCGCGGGGCACCTGCTGTATGTACTCGAACGGGATTCCGCCACCTCAGCGGCCGCAGTGTTCCAGGGCATCTGCGGCCGCTTTGTAATGAGCAGCTTCCGCGTTTTTAAATGCTGTAAAATTATGCATAAGTAATATTCAATGTAAACATTTCTGTCAACGTAGTGTGTCATATCCTGCGACGTAGGCCCGTGCCAGGCGGCCGCTGTTGTAAACAAACCGGCGTGTGAACATCATAGACTGTGCGCATGGATCCCAAAGCTAAAAAGAAGAGTCGATAATAAGACTGGACTAAGAATGAAACATTTGCTTTCAGTCAATGAGGAAGGACTGCTTCATGGTTGCGATGTAATGAGAAGTTTCTATGAGATAATTGTATCTGTGCTTAGAAACTACAAAAATGGCCGCTCGGGGTGGAGTTGAACCTGTGTCACCGGAATGGGGGCGTGGTCAAAAGCGCCTCATTTGCATTTAAAGAGACAGCACCAAAACAGGTTGCTCTCAGACGCACCTCAGAACAGGTGTAGAAGAAAGGCCCGTGGAGCTACAAATAATGAGACTCAGACCCAGGCATTGCAGTTACGCTTTATATAGGCCACAAATTAATGATTTAGATGTAAAAATCAATTATTTGAAAACACGATATGTCCACTTTAATATAGGTTTGTTTGTCCCACATTCATGTAATTACAACTAATAATTGCAGGAAGAGACCAAAGTAAACTACTATTTATTTCAGTCTCATACAATAAGTCGGAAGGTGCAGTTGTACCTCACAGCGAATAGTTTTATTATAAATCCTTTTTTCACACATGGTTCATGGGGCACGAAAGCGCAACGTAGCATTTTGAAAGCATCTTTATATTGCTTCCTGCTGGCGCACCTCTGCATAGCACTGTCCTAATAGCCTGCATTGCCCTCGGGTCATTCACTACTCGCCACGTTTAATGCAAAATTGAAAGGAGTTGCAGTTTTGTAACGTAGATTCACCAGGGTAAGTGCAGTGTGAAAAGAGCTAATAATCATTTTGGACCTGAGTTGAGTAAAGTCTGGCTCAGGGCCAGGATCAGCTTGTGTTTGGTTTAAAGAAGCTAATTAAAGCCACATGAAAGAGCCTGGGACCAACAATTAAAACTTCAACAATGATTACACAAGCTCTGTAATTAGAGGCTGTCTATTGGAGGATCCGTTTTATTCAAGAGAAATCCAGTTGAGAGAGTCGTGAAAAGCAAGAACACTGTAAACCCTCATATCAATACAACCAAATATATAAGTTCAGCTCAGGTTTTGTAATATAGTCACCCTCAAATACAACTGAACTATCACATTTAAGTATTGTTGTTCCCCATTTCACGGCACCCAAAGCACTTTACATCAACAAAGAATTCACCCTTTCAGATGTGCAGACACGAGGGGACGAGGCTGGTTAAGTGTCTTGCCCCGGGACACACAGAAACATAAATAATGGGAGCTAGTTTCATACCTGTCCGCTTGATCAATAATGTGTTAATGTCGGGAGCGAGATTCGAACCCTTAACTTTCAACACAGAGTACACTTCCCCGCATGGCCCACACTGCAAACTGTGTAAAGGCACAAACATCAGAGATTCAACTTTTTTTTTTTTTTGAGAAAAAGTTACAAGAATAAGACTATTGCACATAATTTTCTTGTTGTGACTGGTTTCACCCACTTATCTCCTAGTTATCTTACCTAAAATACTTATGTGCAAGTTCTCCTTCCGCTCGCTATTTCAGGGAAAATAAGTTTGATAGAGCACCAAGATGTTCAGAGGTCTGCCGTGTCTGCCGAAGCTGAAAATGATCTATAATTCCCCCCAAAAAATAATAACCAAGACAACGTTAAAAATAGTCTCTTCTCGTTATTTAATTTGGGGAAAAGTGCCTCGGCTACAAACATGTAAATGACCCACCCCATAATTCAAAAATGATTACAATTTGATTATTCAAGTCAAATAATGAACACAAATATTTTAAAATAACAAACAAAATTATATTAATTTAACATACAATAATTATATAAAACATTTTTTTTTATGACCTCTCGAGGCCCCCCTGCAATACGCTCGCGGCCCCTGGGAGACACTGATCTATATGATTAAGTAGCATTTATTTAGTCCAGATTTCTTCAAATATACATCATGTAATAGTCCCTCTGCATGAATCCAGTCACGGCATGCTGTGAGGTCCTGTTTCTGAGGTGGACCAGCTCGATGAATCATTCCCCACTTCTCCTCCCAAAGTGGACCAATCTTTGTTGTGGCCACCCCTGCTTAATATGATCATTTGGTTTATTCCCCTGAAGCTCGTGTGGCTGCTCTGTCAGAGTGTAGTAGCACAGCTGAACGTCCGCCTCAGCACTTGTGCAGAGAAGATACAGAGGAGAGCAGCACTTACCTTGGCCATCGCTGAACGCTTGAATCATCGACATGACACTGTTCAGTCCCAGATGTGAGTATGATGGTTATTCTCTTTATGCATGTGATGTGGCTGTCTTATGTCTCTTTCCTCTGCAGTCTCTCAACACTTACACTCATTAAAATTACACCAGAGTTTATGTATAGGACAGGAGTTGTTAGTGCAGACAAGACACATATCTGGATATTGTTTTAAAGTTTCTCCATCAATGAAGAAAAATCTCAAAATGTACATATCCGTTTTTGTTCATGGCTGCTACAGACCTGAAGAAAATGAATTTTTTTGTTAGAGTGCATGTTTTGTAGAAGAGCTTATTGAAATGCATACTGGTCATATTTCTACACACACACAGAGCAAAACCAAAGACGAACCAGCATAGGAAACTGAAGAGACTAATTTTGTCCAATCATAAAGCTTCAGTAGAGTTTGAAACGTTAATGTTTTTTTTCTGAGACGAGAAAACGCAGTGTGACAAATATCAATATATTCTCAATATTTACTGGTCAAAGTGTGATTTTTTTTTATTTGTGTGGGTGAATCTACGACTTTGAAAACTGCTGTTGTAATTTAGGGCTAAGCAAAAATGAATTTTATTTAGTTTAATTCACAATCAGCAGGTAGTAAAATCGTTCTGTTTCTTTTTAAAGTTCAGGCTTCACTATAATTGGTTGATTCCGCTTCTCTCATTCTGAGCCTGCAGAGGAGGGAGAAGGTTTGATCCATAAACATCTTCAAAATAATCTTAACACTTTAGCACATTGTTACAGAATGAGATTGTGTTAAGGACAACATCAACCTGCCCTGATCAAAAATATATTTCCCGTTCACCTTTTCTATTCTTTGTAATCTGAGCACCGCTCTGTTTGGTTAATTTGTTTTTGGGCTGAGGCACAGTGATCCCTGCAGACTTCAGTGTGGCATGAGACAGTCATTGGTTATGGCTGAATGTGTTTGACCTTGGTTCCTCATCACAGAGGCCTCCTCAGACTGCCATTATCAACCTCTCCTTTTGTTAAGCTCTTCCTTTGGGAAACTACGACTCATGTTCCCCTGACTGTGATTCATTTACTAATTGATAGCTTTTATTAGGAGACAGCGGAGTACCCTGGCTCATCAACTTTTATAGTTACATTAAAGAAAGGCCTTTCAACTTAAAGGTGCATTGCACAACTGTTCTGACAGGGTCCGCTGCCTGCTTGGCGTTATAGATATGTAATCATTGTGCACTGTATGGTTGTTTGAAACTTGTACATTCTTCTGTTATGGAGGATTTTTATTCCTTAAAGAAGTTAATTCTTACGGAGAGAAGATGTTCCTCTCTCCAGATAATGTAATGTAGCCGAGTGCAGTTACATGCTTGTTTCCAGTAAAAAGAAAGTTTGATTTCTAACTGTAGAAAGGTCTCTGGGCCAACACAGGTCGGCCAAGCAGTCGTATAGGCCCACAGCTTCCTATAAGGCTCCTTTCATTACTGGGCCATACCTGGTTAGTTCTGCTTAATGTCAGATTCTGGGTATTTGCAGTAGTTTAAATCTGGTTGGTAGCAGTCATTGTGTGCAACACACCAAACCAAATCCAAATGAATCTCAATGTCTTTTATTTAATACCCAAGAATAACCCATTGTTATTTTTAAGTTCCTTATAGGTTCACTGAGCAGTAGCCTGATTACTTCCTGAGATTGTCTGATGCTTAGCCCCTGTTGAGCTCCACCACTGTGCGCAGCAGCAGTCTACTGCTCCTCCTGTTTTATGGCTCATCTTGTGGAATATGGATAAGTCTGCTGTCATTTATAGCTTTTCATTTAAAATACGATATAACATTTTGCAACTTATTCATGCTGGTGTGTGCTCTAATTTTAAAGTCATGCTTCCAAGCTCTGTATTTTTATTTAATGTAAAAAAGGAACAATAAATATTGTTTTACTCAATTAAAAGATACTTAATTGTCACCAGGAAAATTGCACCTTTTGATACTTCACTCACAAGTTGAATATAATAGTGCATTGCTCTAAAATATCAAGCGTATGAAACAAACGTATGTATTTAGTGGCCACCTGCTTGTCTCATCAGGGCCTGGTTAGTCCTGTGATGGGAGACAGCAGAATGCCAGGTGCCAGTGGGGCATTTTCAAGTGCAAAGTGTTGTTGTGTCCTCACTGTATATGGAATTAATGAATTATAATCTGCTTTGGGGATGATGAAAGAAGCTACGTATTATATACATTGATATACATAGTCGTTATATTATACAGCAATCATTTGTTAGACTTAAGACCATCAGGAAGAGGACACTTTACTGTATCGGTTTAAAGTCACACAATTGGAAGCCCCAGGAGAGCCCCACAACAGGTTTATGTGACTGTAACCTGCCAGAGAGGTTGAGGAACATGTGTCCTGTTCTTCACTCTCGGAGTCATACTTAATTAATTGTCGCTCGCAGCGATTTGACAGTCTCTATGTGAGTGTACGTGCAGCTGGCCCAGTCACACTCCATTCAGCGTCCATCTGTCCGTGTCAGACCGGCCCATGCCGCGTCATCTCTGCTTTATAGCTTTTTAACACACTGTTATTCAAAAGTAAGGATTCTGTGGAATCCTTTGTAATCAAGACAACTGTATTATTCATGTGTTGGTAATTTGGGTTATATAATGACATTGGAGCAAAAATTGCAGACATCAAAACAAAAGATTTGTGGCAAAGATAATCAATGGGAAAACAAAGGAATAATCTTTGACAAAGAATCTGCTGGCAGTAAAACATCAGTCGTTGATTTAAGTGACTGTCAGTCAAAAAGTAAAACAAACTTTTACAAATTACAAATGAGCTCAATATATGGCTATGTAAATTGGCTGATACACGCCTGCTCTAAATCAGGCGATGGCTTTTCTGTGCAGACATGAATGTGAGTGGAGAGCTGAAGTCCGGCCGCTCCAGAGCTGCGAGCAAAAGGACCAGCACTGAGTCATACGGGTAAGTTCAGAGCTGCAGTGGAACTCTTTTATAAATATAGTGACAGAGTGCTACAGGGGTTAGAGCTGTCACAGCTGCCAGAAGGTCCTGGGTTAGTCTCCCAGGTGGACTGAAGCCTTTCAGAATTTGCATGTTCTCCTAGTGGTTACATAGGTTTCTTCTGTTTGTTGAAATAAAACCCTAGAATACAATATCATATGTGGTTTGCAGTTTTAGTGGTTGCCGTTTATTTTGTTGCTGATTTAGTTTGTTTTGTTGATGGTGCTTTGTACTTAGAAATAGATCTTAACTGAATCCTTTGAGACAGCAGTCTGTTGGGAGCACCTCATCACAAAATTAACTGTATTTAATTCTAACATTGTGAGATAACCCATTAATGTACAATATGCAATTGTTAAGAAACTCAAGGTCCCTGCAGAACAGTTCATGGAGTGTCAAACAATTTCAATGGGATCTGTATTTCAGAACATATTCACTTACATGAATGGGTTACTAAGTCTAAGTAGATTTACAGACAGTAATATAGTCATGTCAAGTCAATATATTACACTTGTATCCTTGTAACTAGAGTCTAGGCCCATCACTGTGTCGCTCAGAGAGCAGATGTTCCTCTGGGTGGGCGTATCATTAACAAGAATCTAATTTCTTGAGCATGACAGAATTTTGTTCTTTTGAAATCCTCTGAAATTGTCAAGGACAGACAAACACGCCTTTGGTGTGCACTGCTACATTGTTGCTGTTTCTCAAACTGTGGTTCATGTCTGGTGCTACCAGGTTCCTCTGCAGTTCATTTATTTATAGAATTTAGAATATTTTATAAACTATTGTAGTTGTTTATTTCAAACAACTATAGGAACAATGTATTGATATCAGTTTCGTCCTAATTTACGTTATGCTTGGATATCCTTATTATTCACATATGTGGTACTTGGTATATTTGGTATAATTCAGGCACAAGTCAAAGTTTTAAACATTAAAGTCATTAAAATAATTTGAATACACATTTGAAGGAGTTTTTATCTATTCATATTTTAAATCAAACACGAAGAAGGTGGAGATCATTCAGTTTCAGTTTTTCCTACAGCGTTTCTCAACCCTCCGCAATTGACTAAATATTTCATTTTTTAACATATTCCTGTCTATGTGCTTTATTATATTTTCTGCATGAGGGTAGGACGACTAGTACGTGCGGCACATGTGAGTAAACAATCCCTTTAAACCTGGCTACAGCCGTTTCTAATTCTTCCTCCGACTCCTAACCATATTCTTCCGAGAAGCGCCTGCGGCTCTGCATTTATCAGAATCAGAATCAGAATCATTTTTATTGCCACGTAAGTAACAGGAGGTCACAGACTTGGAAATTGCTTTGGCTCAGTGCAACAGTCAAAAAGAGATAATAAAAATAAGAATAAAAAACACTTCTAAAGAATAAATTTAAATTTAAAATAGAGTTACAGTTACTATTTACAATATACAAGTGCACATGGTGCACACAATGTAAGGTGAATTTATGCCTCTGCTCCAGGAGACACACGCAAACACTCAATACTAATCACAAACATGTACACAAGACCATCAAGGTTCTATTTTTAGGTAATCAGACAAACAAGTTTTTGTTAAGTATCAAGATTCTAGTATCATGAACTCAACTGTAAAAATAAATAAATAAATCTAAACAGTGGCAAGTAACACGTTGTCCACCTGAATTATTCATCTCTCTAATCTTAATGAATATATTATTAACTTGATGTTTTTAGGGGCTATCATGCTATATAGTACATCATTGCATTGCTTAAAACAACGAAATAATTCATTGTATTCTAAACATTGAAGTCAAAACACCATTAACACCAATATAATTACAAACAAAATAATCAGTCCACATTTGATGAGTTGCTCTTCCTGATTAGTGTCTTAAATTGGGCGCTACGGTGGCTGAGTGGATAGCACTCTCGCTTCTCAGCAAGAAAGTCCTGGGTCCTGGTTGGAATAGGGTCTTTCTGAGTGGAGTTTGCATGTTCTTCCTGTGTTTGCGCAGGTTTCCACTGGGTGCTCCGGTTTCCCCAGCACTAAAAACATGTACAATAAGTTTGGCATGAGCCTCTTGTACTGATGACCTCACTCTCATCTCTGTGTGAGGGACAGACAATTAAATAAACCACTTTTTGACTCTATATAAATAAAGATTACTTATTTACTTGAATTCTGAGCGGGAAATTATCAAATCCATGTGTGCTCTATTGTAATAGGTTTGATTAGTTTATGAACAATATCAAATAAACCTTTTATTTGTTGTGTATACGTGGATCTGTTTTTGGCATGATGGGTTGATGGGTCATTGTTTTCATGATGATTGATGAATTTAATGAATTGCGACAGGACAAGAATGAAATATCTAGATATATTGTGTCGTAACGCTGGATCAAGAATGAATAATAACCCGTGCTGGTTATATACTGTGTCCTAGTTTGTCAGTCAGTGGAGACTGGACTTGGAGGACTCTGGCCCCAGTGGTGTGCACAACATCTGCTCTCTTGTATCCATCTCGTAATTCTGTCTTTTCCACTGTCATCGAGTGCCAATTATCCAAAGAGCTTGAATTTTAATGGAAGTCATGTTGGTTCAGTGTCCATAAACAGGTTGTGACTTGTGATGTGTGGATATATGAACATGTCCAAATGAACATGACATACAGTATGAACATGTCCACACATCCACATCCAGCAATGTCTTAGTTTGAGAGAGTCCACAGTTAAAGAGCTTTGACAGCCCTTTACTTGCCCCATTACACTCTGTTGTTATGATACTGCAGTATTTGCTAATGTTACTCATAAATCTGTTCGGTGCACACAGACTCCCGAGTGTAGGCATCAAAAACTGGATAGAACTGGACTGAACTTTTTTGGATACTTTAATTGTGACAATGGCTTTACATCAGCTGATGCCGACTTGCAAAGAGGAGTTTGAGGGAATGAGGTCTAAAACCTTCATCAGGTTAGATATCTAGGGGATTAGTTCCCCTAGATACCCCTAGATATTGCACATCAACTCAATAATGTCCATGGCAGGAGGGTCATTCATACGGCCCGCCAAGAGATTTGACACGGCCCGCGGCTCATTTTTGTAAAATTATGATAATGATAATAATTTTATTTTTTTTAAATCCGCGAGGCCGCAGCGCCGCGCTCAGCAGTGAGTCCAGTGCGTCTGTAGCTGGCTCCACCAGAGCGGTGCTTTAGGAATAACTTCTTAAACTACGAGACTTGGTGAAAAATACGGCACTTTGAGCGGAGAATTGAGAAGACAGAAGCTAAACATGTCTGGCCACGGCAGTCTGTTTGTGCCCAGAGCGAGAGGTTTGTGCTGCAGCTGTAAAGGGAAGCTACCTGTGCTAAAAACATTAGCATCGCAGCCGCACAGTGGGCCTCATGTATGAAAGTTGCGTAGAAAAGGGTGTATATTTACGCAAGATCCGACGTGGCATTTATGAACGTGTGAGATACGCACAGATCTGAGCGTACGCACCTGCGGCTGTTGATAAATGCCGCGCTCAAAACCAGCGTATTTATGAAAGTCACGCCTAAAAATATTCAGAAACTGCCCGTTCCACGCCCTGTTTTTGCGACAGGTCAGCAGGAAGTCGGCTAGGAAGACTGTTTGGAAGCCTCAAAAAGCACACACTTCTGAGATTATTCACATTTAAAAAATATATATATATACGCTCTATTATATATACGCGTTTTTCCCTAGTGTCTAGACCCACTGCAGCACTCATCTCTCCTGAAATTTAGAAGTAAATAAATAAATAATAAATGAATGAATGAATCAGTTCCCACATAAGCGCGTTGCATCCTATCTCTGCTGCGGAGAACAGGGCAGTGGATGAGCAGTTTTGAGCAAGATCAATTGCGTTTATGGGGCTTTATGCACAAAACTAAGGAAAACCCACATTGCTTTGCCAGAGGTGAATGAGGCAAAACATATGCGTAAAATTACGTATACGGCGCAGGGTCTGGTTAGTGAGTAAACGGCTAAGGAAAAATAACTTCACGGAGCAGGAGATTGAGACCATTATGAACAAAGTGGGAAAAAGAATAAAGTCTTACTATTTGGAATTCTCAAGAGTGGCATCAAGGGGCTCAAAAAACAATATATGGAAAGAAATGACAGCATCTGTAAACAGCGTGGGGCCTGCAACACGCACTCCTGAAGAGGTGAGTTTGTTCATGTTCGAAGAAAAATACGCTATATTATATCAAACAGTTGATATATTGGGCCAATAGTAAGAATTCATTAATTTATGCTAAAAGTGAAAAAAAAAGGAGCGATCTTAAAATGGTAACAAAAAGGCGTTTCGCGCAGCCAATGAGGAAGTGCTCAGCAGCCCAGGGGGAGGACCGCCAGACCAAAGCATCCAAAAGAAAATATAAAGAAATAAAATGATCTTCAAATGATGTATGTGATTATCATTTTAAAATGGTTGAATGAGAGCCTGTGTGAGCTGTACAGGCCGAAGGCGCTGCTGGCCATGGTCTCTCATCCATGGGCTGCTCCACCAGTGGCACTCTGTGGTCCTGTGCCTGTTGTGGAGAACCGAGCCAGGACCATGTGACACACTTGTACCGGGAGGTACCAGAGCTTACCCCCTATATATCCCAGAGCCTGATCAGACCCACGCAGCGCTCCACGGTGGCGCGCGTCTTTGCTTGGACCCACATGAACCAAATGCCATTACGCACTAATTGTAGGTGCATATAACAATCCACACATTTGTGGGAGACTAAGTTTGACATCTTGCACGTTATTAAATAACACAAACTAGCCCTAACAAAACATAGTAAAATTGCATATTTGTAATGTGAGAGTTGTGCCTATGATCTTGTCAGAGTGGGATTATGTTTATTTTTGTCCAAATCTTGCATTTCATGCGTGTTTTGGCGTGTTGTAATGAAGGTTGAAATGAGTGTACACATTTACACCACCTATTGACTTGGTGTAAA